GTGACTGAAATTAATTTACCTTTTAAAAGAGCCGAGCGAATTAACAGGTGTACGTTTAATTTTCCTCGCAGTTTTCTCACGCAATTCTTACGAGCCGAAAAACGCTGATACTTTCGATGCGCGCGCACACACAGAACGCACGATTCGCAACGTGGCGGTTCGGTCGATAGCCGCGGAACACGTGAATCCGTCACGCGACTCCCTTCGTTCCTTTCTTCGTCCGCCGCTCTTTCATTCATACGTGCTGCCATATAGAAGAGCGGCGTTTCATGTATGCACGGTACATGAACGGGAACAGGCGCGAAAGATAGAGAAAGAAAGGAGCACCGTGACGCATCGGCACATGCGCTCGTTGCTGCACTGGTATGCGTACTTAGGCCGGACTCAATGAACTGCTGACGCTTGAAGGTATACTATAGTGCACGGCTCGGTCTAGCAATGGGGCACATGTGCGCACCATCCAGTCCTTGGTGTACGTTGCGTTCTTGCACGCTATGATTGGTAGTTTGCGGTCATTCTCTACGGTTCTCCGCGAGACCGGCTATTTACGCAGTCCTAACGCTTTATCGGTTCGTTANNNCTGGGATCGGATGAGATCGATCGGACGATCGGGGATGGACTCAACCGTGGCGCGAGCATATAACCGGTGATTTCCTTAATTCTATCCCCTCCGCTTCCTCCTTCCCTTTTTTCTCTCCCTCCACTCCCTCTTTGTTTCAATGTCGTCCATCTGCTTGTTTATTCCGACTACTTTGCAGAGCTTAATTTCTGTTTGATTGCAGCATCTGCCCCGTGGTAACGAAGGTAAAAAGAAATGGAAAAGGGGGGAGGGGAATCATTTTCGAAAGTATTGAACGTGATTTCTTTTCTTATCTTATACCGCGGATTTTCTCCACCGACAGATTAAGAAATATTCCAAATTTTTCGTTTCGTCTCGAATATTTAACGCTCGATCGTTCGTATTTTTTTTTTTTTTTTCCTCGAACACGAGTCAACACACCGTAAATGCAGGA